CGTTTACTGTCCTAATTTTAGTTTCTTTAAACGACCTAAATGAGATAAGAACATGTTTTGCCCGGCGATAAAACACTCATTACCGAGAGACAGTCCCCAGTCCGTGACTCGAAGAGAACTGCTGATTTACGCTTCCCGGTGGATGCTTCCGCATTTAAGCTAACATCCTCAAAATGAATTTGATGTATTCAAAATTATAATAAAATTGTAATTATTATTCTACTGAGCCGTCACAGAGCGATGATTGACAGCTTTCTCACAGGATGTCTCGGAACAACAACAAAAAAAAAGTTAAATAAACATTAACAAAAAAACCCCCGAGACGTTAAAGGTGAGCACATCCGGGTTGCACCGCATAACTGCTTCCTGTTAGCTCCTATTCATATCATTTGGTGATCCATCTTTCTTGTTTTTGCATTTTTCTTTCATTTAGCCGGTCTCTGATCATGGTAAGCCTCGTTTTATATCCAAACTCTTATCCAGCATTGACTTTTGTTATCAGTAAGATTAATTTTTAGCCACAGAAGGTCATTAGTGCTGTGCCAGGGCTGTGTGTTTTCTACAGTCATTGGTGACAGCTCAGTCAAGACATGTGCACCTTCATGTTGTTTTATTCCACACAGCGGCTACACAACAGCTGCTGTACATATACTGCAAGTGTTCGTCTGGGTATACCACTTGTATTTTTTTAAGCAACTGCATAATATTATATTTTGTATATTACTGCAATAACAACGTACAGTGCACAAAATAAGTGAAGTAGAGAGTACAGACAGGGTGGAGTGGGTGGAGATGAAGATCAGAGGTGATATATGACAGGAGGATAGCAGCAAGAGTGACGGGGAAGGTTTGCAAGATCAAAGTCAGCTTTATTGTTAAAGACCATATGTACAGTATTGATGAACTATGTTAGGAAATACTGACAGAGAATTTGCAGTTTTTTTTTAAACTTATTTTTTAAAGTTATTTTGTTAACGGGGATCTAGTCTAAGGTGTTTGTGTACGTTTTGTCTTGGTTTGTGTTAAAGTTAATTTTTGATGCATCAGTTGGCTGATCCAGGAGTTATTTTATTAAGTAGTGTAGTCAGTTTGTTCTCATAGATGTTAGCTAATCAAATATTCTATATCATCAA